AGCTCAGGCTCGGAGGGGCTGGTGTCGGGCCGGAGAGAGCGTGCTGTCCCCTCACTCAAACTCCTAGCTCTGTGTGGGATGAAGGTGGGCTGTAGGCGGAAGCTTGCACTTCCTGGTGCACGTCTTGAATTGTTAGTACAACTTCACACGCGTGTACTTTCCATCTTTAAGTCCAGACATCACGGAAAACTCACTTGGGAATCATGTGGCAGCAGGGAGAAATCTATCTCCATGTTGGCAACTCTATGCACGTGAGACCCTGTGCAAGGGCGCACGTGTGTACATGTGCATGTGAATGTGTGTGTGAAGTGGCCTTGCACGGCTCCATGTGTGGGGAGGGACAGGATCACACTAGGTTTGGAAACCACCTCTGCCACAGTGTGGGTGGGGCAAGACCAGCTCCACCACCAGGTGAGAGGAGGCAGACTGGGCGCATGCTTGGAAGGGGGGATCCGGGGTCTAGAATCACAGGGGGAGGGGGCCCAGGGTCTAGAACAAGGGAAGGAGGGGGCGCCTGGGGGGCTCAGTCAGTCAGGCGTCCGACGTCGGCTCAGGTCATGATCTCACAGTTCGTGGGTTTGAGCCCTGTGTTGGGCTCTGTGCTGACAGCTCAGAGCCTGGAGTTGGCTTCAGATTCTGTGTCTCCCTCTCTCTCTGACCCTCCCCTGCTCACACTGTCTCTCTCTTTCTCTTTCTCAAAAATAAATAAAACATTTAAAAAAGGAAAGGGAAGGAGGACCAGGGTCTAGAACAACAGGAGGAGGGGGTCCCGGAGTTCTAGACCCTGGGGAGGGCCTGGGGTCAGGAAGCGCTGGAGGGGGAGGGGCCCAGAGGTCAGCGCCAGCGCCTGGGGTGTCTGTGTGCCCTGGACGGGCCTGTGATCGCCATCACGGTACGTGCAGTAATGGACTCAGCACAGCACACGAAGAACAGGGTTACGTGTGAGGGAAATCACACACTTTTCCTCGCCTTTGTGACGGAATTTCTCTGGGCACAACCGCGTCGTCTCTCCTCTCCTCTCAGGAGGGCCTGGTCTGCGCCCCTCTGCCCGGCTGGCCGGGGAGAGCCGCCCCAGGGAGGTGGCTGTCTCGCCTCGGGGTGCCCTCCTCCTGCTCATGTCAAATTCACTCCAGCGGTCGTTTCATTGGCTGAACCTCCACCGATCTGTCCTCACCACTGTCCCAACGGCCCTCGGCCGTGAGGTTCCCGCCGAGCTCCTTGCTCTCTCGCTATCCCTCCCGGCAGCCAGGCGACCACAACGTGCACCGTCGCAGCCAGGACACCTGGCGGGCGCAGTCCCTGGGCAGCGGCAGGCCCCACACGGCCCCACGCGGTGCAGGTGGCCCCTCCAACTGGGCCACCTGGGGCTCCCCTCCTTGCCCCCCCACCCCCGACGATGCCCAAACCCTCCCTTCTGGGGTGACCGCTCCCCACGAATCTGGGGCCCACGGCACTGCCGCCTCCAGGTGGGGACTGTGGCCCCTCCCCCACGCCTGCTGCCCCATTTCACCGAGAACCAACCCTCTTGAGGGGGCCCTGCAGCCCACGGGCCACGTGCCGCTCCCCCACAACTGGGCCCCGCCCACCCTCCCCTCTCCTTCTTCCTTCTCTCTAATCCACACCCCTGTGCACAACCCACTTCATTTACTGAGGACACAAGCAACACGACTTTATTCACTTTGTTCACTGTTGGGTCCAGGTGTGTCCGGGACACGGACATTTCTCGCAGACGCGATGGGGTGCCCCGCCCAGGGTGCCTCTGCCTGGCTTCCTCGGCCGTGCAGAGGTCACAGGGCCACCCGGGGGGCAGGCCTCAAGCTAGGCGAGAGCTCACGGGGTGGCTCGCAGAGCCACCACCTGACCGCTGGGGGCCGGCTGACTGCTCCCACGACCCACAGCGTCCTTCCGCGTTCCAGTGACCGAGTTTTCTCCTAAGACCACAGATACACTCCCATTACGTACATCGGACACGCGGACTACGCTCCCAAGTATGTATGTCTGACACACGCAGACCCAGGCTGCCTGTGCTGATGCGGCGTTTTCTACGCGGCCGGTAATGGTCAACGGTCCGGCTCGAGCCAGGGCTCCTCTGTGTGCACTCATAACCCAGGGGAGTACGGTCAGCCCCGGCCCCGTTTCTCTAGAAGATGCGGCTAAAGTGTGGTGTAAAAACTGAGTCCACATCTCAGAGAAGCAGGCTTCACACGGGATCCGACCGTTCGAGGGCGCAGACGTGGAAGGCAGGCTGCGATCCCATCCTGCCACTGGCCAGTGCAGGGCTGTTCCCTCTTTTCCGGAAGGGGCCGCCCATCTCCGACGCCAGGGGGTTAGGACAGAGAGCTGCGGGCTGCACGCTTCCTCCTGCACGCAGGGGAGGACCCACAGGAGAGCACGACTGGCCCACTCAGGCCGCACACCAGGGCCACCTCTCAGCGCCCAGCCGGCCCTCGCCCTGAAGACGTGGGCACAGGCCTGGCCTTCCCTGCAGGCAGTTTCTGCCCTACATTTTTAACGAGCCCCGAGCTCTGCAGGAAGACACCTGCTGCGTGCGGGGAGGGGACCACACTTCCCTTCCTTTACGGCGGCAGTCCCTCCTCGGAGCCGGCACCCCCCGCAGCCCCGGGGGTCAGGACTGATGGCACACGGGCGCCCGCCTCACGCTCCGACTCCCACGCGTCCTGTCCCTGCACCGAACACCCGACTCCTCTCCTCTGGCCCCTCATGTCTGTGGGGGCCCTCAGCTGTCCTCTGAGGCCATGGCGCACTAAGCGTCATTATGTGGGGGTTTTATTCCTGGACAAAGGGGCGCGTTGGGTGCGCCAGGTCCCCATCTGCCACTCTTACCCCAGAGCTCTCCATGGTCCTGGTCTGGAAAGAGAACCGTGAATGAAGCCCACGCTGGCCGGCGCCCACGGCACACCCCCGTCTCCAGAAACACAGAGGAGCAAACCGGCCTCCCGCCCAGTTCCACGCCTCCTGGAGCCACGGAGCAACAGCACCTCCTTCCCTTGGCCTTCGAGAGTGAGCCATGTGACCCCAGTCGTGTGAAAGGGGTTCGTTCTGCTGGGGACAGTGGAGGAGAGACCGAAAGGCTGCAGTCCTCATCAAAGGGGAGGCCGCAGAGATCACAGGACAAGCCCGTCAAGCAGGCCAGGGCCCGTTCACTCCATTCATCTGCAAATGAAGTGCATTTGTACAGCACGTGCCCTGTCCGGGATCCGCCTCCTCCTGCAGACCCGGACCAAACCTGGCTGTGATGACTTTTTCTTTTCGGAAAGTTCCAAGAAGCCTGGTGGGCAAGGGGTCCTGAGGGAGGAGGAGCCGGCTTTCGCTTCTTTCTTCAGGTGCAGGCGATGAAGGCCCTCCCTGAGTAGGTGGCCTGGAGCATTAAAAGGTGGTCCACCGAGGGGCAGCAAGTGCAAAGGCCCTGAGGCCATCAGGTCTGAGGATCAGTGAGGGCAGAGACCCCAGGGGAGGAGACACGCAAGCCTGGAAGGTTGGAGAGGGCTACCCCCACCCCCCCAAGCCTGCTTGTGGCCTGGGGACAGGGCTCACCTCTGCCCCAGGCCTGGGCTGTTGGGCGTTGACGTTTCCAGGCACATATACACTGACTGGTTGACTTCTGAGACAGACCGAGGGGGCTGGGACCTTGCCCTGTGCTGAGACAAGGCCTGTCTGGACTCAGGGTGGCCCCCACCTGGGAGACCAGAGTCTGCACGGGGCGGCCCCCCTTTGCTTTCCAATCCCTTGAACTTGTTCTTCCCTGAAGCCACGGGCAGGTTCAGTCACTTCACGCTCAGGTCGCTGCCCCGTCCTGCTGGCCCGTCCCCACGCACCTTTCCCTGGAGCCCTGAGCGCTTCCACACCTGTCCTGTCCTGTCCTGGTCCCCGTGTCCTCAAGCCCCGGTGCCCTGGCGTCCCTCCTGCAGGGACACCCTTGGTGCCTCACCACAGGGAGCATCTTCCTGCCACCTTGCGTGGCCACCTTACTCGTGCCCCGTCAGGTCGTCCTGTCTCTGACCCCGAGGCCGACGAAGACACACAGAGATGCTTTCCAGTGGTGCTGCCGCCACCAGGAAGCCCCTCGAGGGTGCGCGGCTGGCCGGGGAACGTAAGAAAGGTCCCTACGCCGCGCTCGGCCGCCAGGACCTGGTGCCCCGAAGGCAAGGACAGTAGGCGCTGCACGACCCAGGCCGTGACCCCAGCTTTCTCCTGACCACTCAGCGCCCACACCTCTGAGGAAGGCGCCCTTCCACTCAGCCGGGTTCCAGAAGAATCTACAACCCCCCATCCCTGCCAGCACCAGCTGGTCGTCACCGTAGGCAGTTTTCACGCAACAGGAACCAGCCAACGGTACGTGCCATCCTGGTCTGTTCTCTGGATCCGAGAATTCGCCGAGCAATAGATCTCACACATTCGGAAAGCGGTCCTTACCAACGCTGACGCGTGAGCACAGTGTCCAGGGACCTGGGAGGCTGGGCCCCCGCACTGCGGCTAGCCCCCCAGCCCCCCGTCGCCCTTGATGCCACCTGAGGAACGAGGTCACCCGCCAGGCCATCCCCACCCAACGCCGCGTGGCGCTGGCTCCTCATCAGGGCGTGGGGTCCACGTCCTCACCACCTCTGGGCTGGCGTGGGCCCCCGGCGGCCGCCCCCCCAGCAGGGTGGCGTCCGCCTCTGGGCTCCTGGGTGTGGAGGGTGCCCCAGCGCCGCCGCTGAGGTGCAGACGGGGTCCCCCTGCCTTTCCGGAAGGTGGAACCCAGCTCTGCTCGTGGTAACACCGAAGCACAGCCGGGGGAGCCGCCCTGGGGTCCGTTCTGCTGCCACAAGGGGCGCCAGGGGGACTAACAGTCGGGCCGGGTCCCGAGGGCCTCAGGCCACCTCTGCCCCGTGGCCCCCCGTCGTGGCACGAAGGCCCCGCCGCTCACGTGGCCCTGCCCATGTAACAGACGGCTGGATGCTGGGCCCCTCAGCAGGACCTCATGGGACAGCGACACGCACCTGGGGATGCTGGTGAGGTAGGTCATGACACTCTGGAACTCCGTGTCGGGGACGTCGCTGAATGCCGGGTAGTCCGGGAAGGTGATGACCGGGCTGCCGTCCTGCCCGCGGCCGCCTGGGGAGGGAGCAGGGCAGCTGAGCCGGGCGCCTCCGCCCCCACCCGCCGGCGTATTTCCCGTCAGCAAAGGAGCGCGAGCTGCTCAGGGATGCGCGGCGCGTACCGGAGAGTAACAGGGGCCTGTGTGGCTGAGGACACGGCACCCTTAGCACCCAGGACGCGCCCGCACTGTCCAGCGGCTGGGGTCGCGCACCACGGCCAGACAGGACGGCAGGTCGTCCCACAGGGTGGAGGCAGAACCCGGACCCGAGGGGCACAGGGGTCCCAGGACAGGCCGGGGGACAGAGCCAGCCCCTCGCCCGTCGGCTGTGCTCTAGAGCCTCCCCTGCAGAGGCGAGGTGTGCGGGGCAGAGGGGTCCCAGCTCCAGGACGCTGTGAGGACGAGGTCAGCTGTGCCCTTTCCTACCACTCCTGCTGAGGGAACGTTCTGGAGATGCAGGCAGGAGCCCTGCCCTGCCCTCGGCTGCGTCCCTCTCAGGACTGACCTCCGGCCCTCCTGCAGCCCCTGGCCTCCCCCCGGACAGCGCACAGCGTCCCCTGTCCCTCTGGGACATCACCAGCAGGCGGTGCCCTATGCCTTGTCCCCAGTTCCCAGCACGTGGACCGGTCACAGCCCGGCTCTGCCGCACCCCCCCCAGCCCGGCTCTGCCGCCCCCCCCAGCCCGGCTCTGCCGCACCCCCCCCAGCCCGGCTCTGCCGCCCCCCCCCCCAGCCCGCCTCTGCCACCCCCCCCAGCCCGGCTCTGCCGCACCCCCCCAAGCCCGGCTCTGCGCACCCCCCAGCCTGACGCTCACCAGACAGATACGCAAAGCGCTTCTTCAGCTGGTCCTGGATGTCGGCAGCACAGAGCGGGGTGACGTCCTGGTGCATGATTTCATCTGCAGGGAGAGCAGAAGGACACCGCTGTCACTCGGTGCGAACTGCCTCACGCAGCCGCGCTCATCAGCCAACCCCTAAGGGGACCAGCGGTCACGTGCTCGGAAAAAGGGATTTCAGTTTCCAGTGCGCAGAGACCTTTGTCTCTGGTGCACAGAAAGCTGTGGGCTGGCGGGTTCATCAATATTTAAGGTGTGCTGTGTGTGAGAGGCACAGAGGAGGCGGGAGGAGGGAGGCGGGAGGCGGGAGGCGGGAGGTGCAGGTGGAAGGGCTCCTGAGCATGAGCGCTGGGAGCGGCACCCACCCAGCACCTGCCCACACCCGCCTCGGTCTGCCAGCCCCCACCCCGTCTTGAAGTGGCCTGGGCATCCCCGCAGCCACCGCAGCCCGAGCACGGGTCAGCGAGGACACCAGGCCACACGCACGCAGAGGTCCGTCCAGCCTGCACCCCCCCCGCCCCGGCCCCCGCAGAGCCGGAAGGGCACCCGGCCGGGCCCCTGAGCCGGACTCCGACGGGAAAGGCAGCTTAGCGCACAGGCTGCGAGTGGTGGATGGCGGTCTGGGGGAACTGGGAGCGCCCACGGCCACACCCTGGAGGCGTCGCCAGGAAGCAAGAGGGTCTGGCGAGACTCTGGGCGCCGGCATCAGGGCCGCACGTGTCACTGCGGAGCGCGTAAAGCTGGGTGCGGCTCCTGCCCCGGTGTCTGCGGGCTCCTGCGTTTCCAGGTCAGCGCCACGCTAGCGCCCATGTGATTCACAACCAGATCCCAGCTGCGTGGCAGAATTTGCATTGTGGGACATTTACACGATTTCTCGGAAGATGCTCAGGACCTGTCCTGACAACGTCCAGACTCCCCCACACCCCGTTTGAGACCCGGGCCACACGAGCCCGGAGATGCGGGTTGGGGAGCTCTTCCAGACTGAAGATCCCAGGGAAGCTGCCAAGCGCCGCCTGCGCAGACCAGTCTCGGAGCCGGCTCTTCCTGCCGTGCAAACGAGCAGGTGTAAACAGGTGACACAATCAGGCACACAGGCGGGCCCCACCACCCTGGGTCACTCCTGGAGCCTCCACCCACTGCGCGCCCTGCCCTTCGAGCCTGCGTGCCGCTGACCAGGTGCCAGCCGGCCCCACAGGGTGGCGGTGGCCGGCGTCAGGAAGTGACAGCAGCCAGTGCGCCTTGTCCCCGACAGAGAGGCTGTTGCCCCCGGGCAGCGCAAGGTCTCAGCAACTGCTCTCCTTCGTGGGGGGAAACGGGCTGGGAACCTGCTGCAAGGGAGCTCAGAGTGTTTTCCTGACTCCCCGGCTGGGCGATGTGTGCAGCCCAGACAGGGCGGGGGCTGGGCCGTGCTTCCCTCCGCATGGCAGGAAGGAGCCCCTGCACTGTTAGCACCACGGCTGTGCCGCCTGTGCTCAGGTTCAGCCTCCGCAAACCCAGAGCCGCACGTCGCGGAGCACAGACCACGGAGGCAAGGTCTCGGGAAGTCTGGGGACATCCTGGGGGTCAGCAGAAAACAGCTCGGACAGAGCTGGCAGGTCCTCTACTGGGGACCCAGTGTCCGTGACGAGCACAGGCACAGCCTGGACAGTTCCCTGGACCCCACCACGACCCGGGACCCCGCCGCCACCCCAGCCCTCCTGCCAGACTCCACCAGCCCACGAGGAAAGAAAACCACGCGCGTCCGGGCCTCTGACTGACACTAATTCTTGACTGGTCCAACCAGCAGAAGTTTCAAGTCCACTTCCTCTCCAAGTACCTGCGGTCCTGAGCTCAGCCCTGCACAGCTCGGGAGGTCTGTGCCCTGAGCCCGGCCCACCCTGATGGTGCAGGGCCTTCCCACATGCCAGAGACAGGGCTGCTATCGTTGACCATTCCTGTACTTTCTGTGACAGAGGCACAGTCCCACTGGCTGGATCGTTGTCAGTGCGAGCTTGGTTCCTTGGACAGATGTCTCTGGGCCTCGTCAACCCACCCTCCTCTGTGGGCACTGGCCACTCCCATGTTCCCAGAGCTGCTCCGATGGACTGACCAAGGCCCTTCAGGCCTCAGGGCCTTTGCGCAAGCTGCTCCCTATAACGCTTCTCCCATGTCTGCTGGCCAGTCCAGTCTTATTCAATTCCTGGCCAAGACATCACCTCTTCAGGGAGGCCTTTCTCCACCTCCTAGCCTGGGCCAGGCCCCTCAGCATCCCGCACACGGCCGGAGAGCCTGCAGGCCGGCCGCTCAGGCCCAGAACCCGGCCCGGCGGCCCCCGTGACGGGGGAACCAGGAACTGTGTGAGACCGAGGAAGCAGAAGGTGCACAGGAGGGTGACCTCCCTGAGCAGCGCTGGGGCCCGGCCGACTCCCGTGAGCACAGGCTGGTGCAGAGTTCCTGAACCCACGGACTGCTGGCCCCACGGGTGTGTCCGCCTGCGGCCTCACCGGGAGTCCCACGCAGGGGAGAGCTCGGGGGCAGAACGCGTGCTGTTCAGGTTGAACGATGGGGGTGTCCTGCAGCCCCCACTGGAAACAGCACTGAGTCCACACTAACGGTCTCCATCTAAGGTCACCACGGCTTACGTGGTCACTGGCCGCCACTCGTGAAGCTGGAGATAAGTAAGGACCAAGGCAGTGGCTCCTGTCACGTCACCCGGCGGCTTCGCCAAGCCCATGGGCTCGGGGCCTCCAGGTGCGCTGGGCAGCCCTTCCCCCGCAAAGTGCCGGCCTCTGCCCACCCCCCTTCCCTGTTCAGACGGGGCGGGGCTGTGGTTTGTGGCGGAGGACACGGTGCCACCGGTCCAGCAGGAAATGTGGGAGCCCGCGGGGGAAGGGGCAAGCCTCCGCTGCCAGAAGTCCGGACAGGAAGGGGGTCGTCCCACCCGCCGGCTCAACGAAGGGGTCAGGCGAGGCCCCGCTCCTGCACAGAACCGCTCTGTGTGAGCACAATGCCTCACAGAGCCCGGCCCCCGCCGGCACTCCCGTCTCGGACAGACGTGAAAGGAGGGCCCCGGGGGGTGAGCCTGTCGCTGCACCATGTCTGACGGAGGTTAACGAGGGGCACAGGCACCGAGAGGGCAGCTCTTCTGTCAGGCCCCCGCGGGGGTGCAGCACGGCTCTGAAAGCCCTTCTAGAAGGACGGCCGCCCCCAGCACACGGCCCACTCAGCCCTCACGATGTTCAGCGGCCTGGGCCCCGGCTCAGCCCCAGACAAGGACCAAGGGGAGAGGCCCCAACCCCTGCCACCTGTTTGCACGTAGCCACTGAGACCGGTCCTTCTGGGCTGCAGCCGTAGGGCAGGGGTGGTGCGAGCGTCCCTCCTTTGATCTTTCTTCCCGACACAGTGAGAGTGCCCTGCAAAGACCCCTCCTCTTGCAAAGGGACTCGAGGACCTGCTTTAGTTGAGGACAGTCTCGTAATGGAGGCCGGGTCTGTCCACTCGTAGGAGCGTCTAGCTCGGCTCCCTGCAGCATTGGCCTCCTGTGGCCTTGACCCTTGTCACCCTGCAGGGGAGAGTTCGGTGGTGGTGACTGTCTCAGGTTAGGGGGCCCGGGTGTGCCGGGAGAAGCTTTGAGTTTGGGTTCAGAGGCTTGTCCCTGCTGCTTCCTGGGGACCTTGGGCCTCGCTCAAAGGGAGACAGGCACTTCGGTGGGAGCCAGCAGAGGCCCTCGGCCATATTTTGCATCTGCCTGAAAGTCCACACCCGAAGGCTTTAGTTTATTTTCCACCAAAACGCAACTGTGAGGTCTTCTCCGTGTCCACAGTGGAGTGTCACATTGGGTCATTTCATCAACACACTTGGCGGGATTCCAACGTCATCATAGGGCCCATCCAGCAATCTCGTAGCCAGGAGCAAAGTGTGTGCAGACAGAAGAAGGAGAAAGGAGGCCGCAAACAGGTAAATCCTGACTGAGCGGGGAGGACATGGAGACTGCAGGTGAGGCTACCGAGCTCCTGGGCCAGGGCAAACGGAGGCCGGGGCGGGGCAGGGCCGCTTGGGGGTGGGGGGCTCTGTGGTTTGGGGTCCACACTGCTGTGTGGACGGCTCTCACTGTCCCAGCACATGATCCTGGGCAGACACAGCGGTGTCATGTCGTCACATCGTGAGCTCCGTTCAGCAAACGTTCTCCTGATTTCCTCCTTGCAGGAGGTGAATCCTTACATGTTTTAAATAAAATGCTGCTCCACCAAACCCGCTGTCAGGGAGAAGCGCCCTCCAGCGGGGCGAGCTGCGAGTCCGCAGGCCTGCGGGGGGGTGGGGGGGCAAGCAACGTCAGGCCGGGACCCCCGGGGTCTGTCCCTCCTGCGTGCTGCCCGAGGCGGGTGCCCGGTCTGGAGCCCTCCGGGGCCACGGGGACACTGTGTGCAGATGAAGATGTGCACGCCCGAGGCCCAGCGCACCTCCTTGAGCTCCAGATCCGCATCCTCCCCGGCCCCGCCATTACCAGAGGCGTTTCGAATCACCCGTAATTCCGCGTCGATTTTCCTTACAGTCTGATGGGAATTCTGACTCCAGATCATGCACGCTCTCGCCGCTGCCGAGGAGGAGCCCGCACACACGCGCACGGCGAGGCCCCGCCCGGGGCAGCCGTGACACGTGCACCCCGGGACCGCGGGGTGTGGAGCTGCTCGCGCCCCCATGCGGCCTCGCGGGTGACGAGGGGCGGGGGGCTGCAGTCCGCGGATCCCGGTTTCTGGGCAGAGGCAGGCACTGTGACCCCAGGCGCTCCTTCTCCTCCGGACCTGGTGTGGGCTGGTCTGCGTGACCCCGGGGGGCTGGCGCCTGGCGAGCGGTGGGTATTTGGTTGTCTCCAACGCGGGGGGACGCACGGCTTGCCCTGGGCCCTGGCCGGCGCCCAGCCTCGGCCAGCGAGGGGACGGGCCGCGTGGACCCCGCAATTCTCTGTGTTTTCCACTCGGCTGCCGTCACCCAGCAGAACAGCATAACCATGGGAGACGGCGTTCACCTCCACGCGGCAGAGGGCACAGCTGTTCGCGTGGCCTCCGCGGCTGGCGCCCTGCAGC